TATCATTTTAGTTATGTTGCATTACATAACAGTTCACTGTTGACCCTGATTTACTAAGATAGGCTACAGTGCAATGAGCATCACGGTTTCATTGACACCACTGGCTTTCTTTGCTGTGTTTGCTTTTATTTTTTAATTGATTACACTGACAAAACAGGCTGATTGACTAAGTTCTATAATCACTATTCCGTAACACTCCTTAAATCATGTTACACCAGTCAGGCTTTGCATAAATATACAGTTTACAGCCAAGTTACCTTTCAACATTTTCTGAAAAATTGAAAAAAAATTTAATTCTATTTTGATCTGCTTCTGATAAGCAATACCAATATTAGTAGATTGGGATGAAAAGTTAGTTTTGTTATTTGTGTAGTTGGCATCAGACCACTGCAGAAGACAAGGGAGCCATGTTCTGATCAGAATTTGTCGCAGCTCAAACAATGAAGAGGTAAACTAGGTAGCTAGCTAAATAGGTTAATGCTAGCTATAGAAGTTGGTTAAATTAAGGCTAATAAATTCAAGCAGTATATTTATACAACAAAAGCTTTTAGGATGCGAGCTAATTGATTTTTAACTTTTAAACTCAAATCTAATTAAGGGTAGGATAGAGATGCAATGCTTAGCAACTGTAATTGGCTTCACATTAAAAAAAATGACTACACAGTGGATTTGAAAGTGATGTATGGGAATTTTTAGTATGTAATAATGGAACACAGTTAGTCAAAGACCTTGCCCTATAGAATACAGCAAAGATTATTTTGTTGGTCAACCTGGAAGAACTTTAGCAAACATTAAATATTTTTCATTAACCATCTAACAATATGAAATAAATCTCAACATAATAGCTTTGATGAAAACCATAGTGAGAAACATGACTAATCCCCAGATTGGTCCTTGAACCATGTGATGGCTAGGCAGAAAATAGCCTTAATCATGTAATCAACAGCATATACACTGTTCATCTTATGTGAAAAAGAAAATCCATGACTATATGGTTCTAATGACCATCATTTTCTTAATGAACCATTTTAAATTGAAGAAAATCCTCTCAACAAGGTTGGATGGATCATATAAGGCACTATAACATTTCTTATTTTTAAATAGCGTGAATCAGGGTGATATTGCTTTGGTTCTGGAAAACTGATTTATTTTGCGTAGTGCGGACCTACTGCCAAGACTTTTTACTCACACATTTTCATTTTCTATCAAGAAAGTTCGGTATGATGCATGATGGGAGCAGGGAAGCACCGTCGTAGCGGAGCCTGTCTTATGTTGTTTAACATACAGTATGTGCTCATCTCATCAGCTGAATTAGAACTGTGTTGTGTAAATCACTTTTTCTTCACCATCCACAACCTTTGCTGTCACATCCGAGCGTGACAGACAGGAGATGTGGTTTTTCCAGCATACGTTTGAGGACGGTTTCCTCATCACTGTGCTGTCCATCAAATAATGTTTACATTCTCGCATCAGAGAACTGTTATCATAAACGCTTCATATCCAGCACTGGCTGTGCATCTGCTGCATTTGCAGCCATGAACACATTGAGAGCTATATTTAACCTTTGCACTGGTTCGATGGCAAGTGCACTTTATTGACAACCTTGAATCAACCTCCAGTAGCTTAACAAAGTCCAAACAGCATTTTTTTTTTCCTGTGTGTGTGTTTTTTTGTTTATGCATGCACTGCTTCTTTTTACATCTATGGGTTGTGAGAGTCGACCTTGGCTGTCCGTCTCAGCCATTCAAGCATTGTATTGTCTTCAAAGTGCGCTGTCTCTGAGAACAAGCGATGACATCGCAAAGTGCTCTTTTCTGTGTAGAAGCTGTTGCCGTGGCGCTGCATGGTAAGCAGAGTGTCACCGTGATTGACTCTAATCAAATGGGCTCCCTTAGGATGCCGAGATAGTTCCCCCGAAGACACAAAGCAAAGCTGCATAAGCATCATGCATCATCTCGCAACATACACACACACACACACACCACCAAAAAACAAAAAACCCACATGCACATATATGTACTGTATATGAATGAGGCTTTAATTGTTTGCTTCTCCTTCAAATGTGTGTTGAGGCCCACTTGTGTTTACTGAGAGTGGTCAGCAGATATTGATGGATGGAACAACTGTTTGTGGGATTCAGATCAGTGTGTTTAAGGGCAAATACAGGTTCTATGTCCTGTTTCTTTTTTTATGACTAAATGTGTCTCTGAGAGTATTATGTGTGCATGCTGCTGTCATGATATGAGTGATATCAGACGTGATCCATGAATACAGTAGATCCTTGAAAGTGCTGTCAACCTTCAAAACTAGCTGACTTGAACTTTTTTGTATTTGATTGCCCTTTACTGAGAGTCATGTTCATTTGTGGTGTCGATGTAGATGTGTGTGTGTGT